ACTTGTTTAATATGATCCCTTGCAAACATCAACAATGGGATCAGAGGGAATATCAGTCCCCAATTAGTTGTGTAAATAATATCCAGTTGTGTCCAGTTGTTATCCAGTTGTTGTTGTCAGTTGTTGTTGTTGTTGTTGTTGTTGTTGTTGTTGTTGTTGTTGTTGTTGTTGTTGTTGTTGTTGTTGTTGTTGTTGTTGTTGTTGTTGTTGTCTTTGTTGTTGTTGTTGTTGTTGTTGTTGTTGTTGTTGTTGTTGTTGTTGTTGTTGTTGTTGTTGTTGTTGTTGTTGTTGTTGTTGTTGTTGTTGTTGTTGTTGTTGTTGTTGTTGTTGCTGTTGTTGTTGTTGATGTTGTTGTTATTATCAGTCCCCAATTAGTTGTGTAAATAATATCCAGTTGTTATCCAGTTGTTGTTGTTAGTTGTTGTTGTTGTCAGTTGTCGTTGTCGTTGTCGTTGTCGTTGTCGTTGTCGTTGTCGTTGTCGTTGTCGTTGCCGTTGTCGTTGTCGTTGTCGTTGTCGTTGTCGTTGTCGTCGTCGTCGTCGTCGTCGTCGTCGTCGTCGTCGTTGTCGTTGTCGTTGTCGTTGTCGTTGTTGTTGTTGTTGTTGTTATCAGTCCCCAATTATTTGTGTAAATAATATCCCGTTATGTTCAGTTGTTGTTGTTATCCAGTTGTGTCCCCAAATAGTTTGTAAAAAGCTAAACACATTGACACTTTTAATTAATAATAATAATGGAAACTTTATTGAATTTTTTATGCACTTACAATTGAAAATCTCACTGTTAAAGGTAATTTACAATTGGCTACTTGATACACTATACATTACTACATTTATATAACACATATGGTCATAATTACAAAAAGTAACAGACTAACTAGAAGTTCATTAAATCTGGATTCGACCAATCCTTGTTTCTACAACAGAAAACGTAATATGTAGTTCTTATTGCAATGTTAATGATTTTCCTAATGGCATATTTAACACAGGCCTTAAAGGACAATGGCAACAAAATTTTTTATTGTCTACATTAAAAGTGTTGCTTCATCTAACTATAAATATGATATTAATACAGTGTCAAACATTTTTGTTCAGGAGTTATATGCATGTTATTTCACTGTTAATTTATTGACATCGTCGGCCATCTTGGCTCCTATTTGCGAAAAATTATCTTTTGGGTAATATGACCCGTATGACGCAGATGGCAGGGTAGAATCAAAACAACAATATATTTTTGTGTAGCGTGTATCGAGATTTAATATACGTTTTCTCAAAAAAATAATGCTTTTGAGTCATTTTAATGGAAAATATTCACGAGAACCAAGTAGGAGAAGTGTTATCATAGTGAACCAGAAGTAGGAGAAAAACAAGCAATATTTTAATTTTGGAATAGGTATAAATATATGACCTCTACATGCGTCTTGGACCTTTGGTTCGTGGTTTACATATAATCATTTATTTAATGGATTTCTTTTATTTCAACCATGCCGTTAAATATTGTATGTTAGGTGCACGCGTATAATGCGTGCCGCGTGCGCTGTTTTGTGTCTTTTTATGTCAATCCATTGTAGAAATAGTATACCGAAATTGAAGCTAGTATGTACTGTAAGTAAAGTTATTACTTGGCAACGCTTCCCTTTTCAATTGTATTCTAAACGTTTCATTGCACTGTATTCGTTTTAAAAACTTTGGCGACTGTCCTTGTTCGTACGCGTCTTCGCAGGGGCGCCGGAAGCAATGTGAAGCGGCGGGGGCAGCCATTTCAAAAGGGCACTTGCTTCTCAGCCATGATTTTTCTGAGAGTCAATATTTAAAACGTTACTGTATGGATACTCGATTACTTGTGGCTATTATGGGTCGGCAAACTTAGCTTCGACATTAATTTGAACAAATGTATTCGTTGCACCGTGCTAAACAGAGTTGGAAATTACGTGCTGAATATATGTCAAATTTTTTAGTCTGTTTTTTTAGGTGAAATTTTTGCTGGCTGTTTTCCAAGCAAAGCTTAGTTATGTTCTGGACTGGGCATAGGCCAAATAATAGTGATGTAAACCAGCACAACATTTGTAAGAACACAGCTGCAATACATTTTATTTGGGGTAGGAACAAACATTAACAAGTAATTCTATGTTCTTAAATACGTCGTAAACGACTAAAAATCCGTCACCGTTTACAAAATCTGGTGCTCAGTTCATTTTGGATTTTTCTCACTTAACCCACTATAGAACACTAGAGTACTATAGTTTAGTTGGAATCACCAGTCATGGTAACTCAGAGTCACTGCTTCTCATTCCGCCCAGGAGAGGGTCCTCACGACCACTGTCTTCGGAGCTGTCCGACAACTCCCACTAAACAGATGTAACTAGTGGGATTTCTTGACCGGTTCTGTGGCAACTTCCTGGATAAATCAGCTTCCATCTCCTCTTTATTTTCCTCACTCTCCGATTCCTGTTCGCCCACAGCTCCAACGTCTTTCAACCAATCTCTGAGGAATTCTTCCCTCTTGTCCTTTTTGATGCGCTTCCTCTTGCAGTATATTGCTGTCTGTTCCCTTGGGTCTTCCTCCGCGATTTGTCACTATTCCAGAGGTCCACAGCAAGCTCACGGAAAACGTGCAGAGTTGGTTGCGTCAGCCAGATTTGACTACACGCAAGTACGAGATGAACGACGCGCAAACTGCATGCATTGCCGTACGAGCAGCAGAGACACAGCTCAACCAGTGCCCACAGTTCCCGTGCTTCCTCCAGCTTTACCTTCCAGAGCATTGGCCACAGATCCATGGAGTCGATAACAGCTTCGTTATAGTATGCCGTTGCCGATCCCTGCTCTGAAATTAAAAATCGCCGGCAAGGTCCTAAAACTGCCGGCGATAGCCAGCAGCCGGCGGCTATTTAAAACCCTGCAGATGGTGCAAAATAAAATCAGTAAACGGTCGTATATTACTTGATTTAGCATTAATTTTACTGCAACTGGTTAAAAATTAAGTAAAGATTGCAGAAAATTGCTTAAACATTGCTTAAAAATAGTTATAAATTCAAATTCCTGTGAATAACGCACGAATTTAGAAGTGTAGTTCCGGTAAAAAGGGCAACCTGTTGCCCCCGTGCTGCCCCCGCACTGTTCAGGCAATGGAGGCAGTTGCCCCCGCTGCCCCCGTGGCTCCGGCGCCCCTGCGTCTTCGGCAAAATGAAGTGAGCATATATCTAGTCACATCGTCGCGACGATGGTTTAATGCTTTGCGCTTATACAGAATTCAATCCACGCTTTTCTCCTATATTGCTGATCTACCGATTTGCCCTTTGGAAAATTGAAGAAACAGATTTCACTTGTGTGTTGGCTGTCCTATTACAACCGTAGACGTATTACAACAGTCGACCACCCAAGGTGTGAGCTTCAGGGGGTTCTACCCCCAGGAAATTTTGGATTTCTTGAAGCTCAGATAAGCTATTTCCCGCATTTTGAGAAGTTTTCCAACAAGAAATTAACCTTATAAACAGTTATTATTATTATTATTATTAAAACTTTATTTAGGAACGGTATTGCTCATCAGGATTTACATTATATGGGCTACATTAACTAAATTATATTACAAAAACTATACGGTTATACAAAGTTATCTCTATACCTGCTTTCCATGAGGGCCGTGTATTAAAAATAGCCATTAAAATTTATAAAAGACTTCTACAGCCCGCTCGAAAATTGTCAAGGGACTGTGCTTGCCGTAACCCGATTGGAAGACTGTTCCACAGCACAGCGCCACTATAACTAAAGCTGTTTTTCAAATAGTTTGTGAGAGGCATAGGAACAGCTAATTTATTCTCAGTGTCACGCAATTGGACTGAAGTTACACTTTCACGATCAGTAAACATGGAGTGCATATAGTCGGGAGCTAAACCATTAAGAGATTTATAGACCATTACAGCCTTTGAACTTTACGCTGAAAGGAAAGTGTTTTCCAATTGAGCTTTTCAAAGAGTGAATCGGCATTAGTGTCATAGCTAGAGAATGTTAAAACCCTGGCTGCACGATTTTGTAATTTTTCAGTGGAGCTTTTCAGCATAAGTTTTATTACAGTTATCCCAAACTGAACAACAGTAGCTGAAATGAGGCTGAACTAGAGCGTTGTAAACAAGCTTCAACGTTGTATAGCCGGAATAAAAGAACGTACACGTTTCAAAGCACCAATACCAGAAGCAATCTTTTTTATTAAATCATTGATATGGGCATTCCAAGACAGGTTTTCATCAAGCTTTATCCCAAGGGACTCCGTTTGAGAAACTTGGCGAACAGGATGTCCATGGATTGCTAAGGAAGGGGCCGAGTGTAACGTGCTTAATTTTTGTCTTGACCCAATTAGCATGAACTCTGTTTTAGATTGATTGAGAGTTAGCTTATTGGCTATGAGCCATTTATTGACATTATCAAGATCTTGATTAAGCTTATAGTCCATGTCATCAACATTATTGCTAGCGAATGTTAAATTTGTGTCATCAGCGTACATACGTGGATGGGAATGTGTCAGGCAATTTGGTAAATCATTAATGTAGATAAGGAAAAGCAAAGGTCCTAAGATAGTCCCTTGCGGGATACCAAGGCAATACGCGTTGACTAGACAGATGACCATTGACATAACATTTTTGATTGCGATCATTTAAGTAGGACCTAAACCAGTTGCCTGTAGAACCTCCAAAACCATATACGCTTAACTTTGACAGCAATATTGCATGATCAACAGTATCAAACGCCTTCTTGAGGTCTAAGAAAACGACGGCATTAACGTTGCCTCGGTCAATATTGTAAGACCAGTTATTAGTAGCCTCAAGAAGTGCGGTGACAGTGGAATGAAGAGTTCGAAACCCTGACTGGCAATTAGATAAGAGGTTATTATCCATAAGATAGGCATAAACTTGATCATAAATAATTCTCTCAGAAACTTTCGCCACCACTGGAATTATAGAAATTGGGCGATAGTTATTTAAATCCCTACGCTCTCCCTTTTTAAATAATGGAATGACTTTTGAGCATTTCCATTCGTTGGGGAATGTACCAGAGTTAATAGAACAGTTAAAAATTGCACATATTGAATCGGCTATTAGGTCGGAACAATCGCAAAGTAATCTGGCTGATATCTTATCCAAACCCGTGGCTTTAGATTTACAAGGTTTAGACAAGAGGGTACCAACCACCGACGGACTAGTTGTATTTAGTCGAAAATTATCATTAGATTGACTTGGCAAGTAATCAAGCTGTGCACCACCATTCCCAATATAGGGAATTTTCTGAGCAAGCTTAGAGCCTATACCAGCAAAATGATCATTGAACACCTCGGATAACTCATTAGGTTCACTGACTAAGGAACCATTTGTTTTAACTTCCTTGACTTGTGAACTAAATTGCTTCCTTGAAGTAAGTTCGTTTACAATTCCCCAAGTCTTTTTCATATTTTGTTTGTTTTGATGGAATGCGTTCTGATACGGCAATTTCACAGTCTCCCAAAAGTAATCCAGTCCCAATAAGGCAAATGGTGTGATGATGCGGTAATTAAAATGTGTGTGGTATAGTATTATCATTCACCACACTTCAAATTCTACAGTACTGTATTACATGTATCGGGGTACTTGAAATCGACGCATTCGTTACGGCCTGCAGATGATGGTCAAATTCAGAAATGTTAACAACTTA